TCGGCTCGTTTTGACATCCCTAGATTCGACACAAGATTTAACGAGTTCTCGTCTCCAGTGTAGAGTACGGTACGTCTCGACCAGATCAGTTATCCGATGAATCCACTATATGCTTTTGAGAGAGAGTATCACAAGCTCGTTCTGAGCTACAATGGCGGAAAAACTTGAATCGTAAAAGATACAAGATGAACACGAGAATCCTCTGGTTATAAACAAACCCAGAACCTCAGAAATTACCAGATTGCCCACGACTCGTTAACTGATTTCCGTTATTCACCGATGAAGGATATGCCCATGTGAATCTTCTGCTAGATACAGAAGGTCTCATGCCTTATTTGAGTTCTCGACAACTGACGTAGACGGACCAATTCTCATCAAGGATGATTTGTGCGCTGTCCCAAGAACTGCCTGATGCCAAGAGACACTGGGGAAGGAGCTTGATTGCGTGAGGAAGATCTTCCGGGGTAATGATGATGTCAAAAGGGAATGCATTGTACCATAAAGCCGATGAAATAGCCACTGTCAGAGAGCAAGCGGATTCAGCCTTCCCATGCTTGTAACTTCATCATTCAGTTCTTCAAGCAGTAAGTTTTCTAGTGGTTTTCAGATCTATTTGTTCTGTCGCATTCTCTTGGTTGACAGAATATGATTTGCATGTCTGAATTAGAAAACCCTAAGGATTTGGATTCTATTATATCTGGACTGATGGATGGTGGTTCTGTTATCTTCCTTTTAATTCCTCTCAAAGAGTGTTTCTCTCTCTCAATTCACTCTTTCTTTGAATTAAAGGAAGACATAAAAACAAGAACTATTTCTCTGCAAATATCACTTCATTCCATCTCTACACATATGTCCATACACGTATTTATAAAAAACAAAATAAAAAACTGCTAATAGAAGTTACATAAAACCACAAACCACTACTAATAACTATCCTAAAAAACTGAAACATACAAACTGTAAATCAATCCATTTTAGTTTCTTAAACCGGTCCTTGAACCAACATTTTCTGTACCGGACTTGAACCAATAGAACCAACACTCCTCCTTGGTTCAATGTCTCTCAACCATGTCAATCAAAAGAGTTGTTCCACTTCACTTTCTTCAGCCTTGTTCGCTTCAATTTCAACATTTTCAGTATTCTTTTCTTTGCAAATCTTCTCGACATGCCCCATTTTATTGCATTTCCTGCATTTAACATCGGGTCTTTTCCAACATCTCCAATGTGGATGACCCTTCTTACCACAATGCTTGCACGATTCAATGGATTGCTCACCAAATTTTTCATTTCCTGTAGAATTTATTTTTGCATTTGCTATTAGAGCACCTTCCACCGATTCATCCTTTCTCATAGACTCCTCCTTTCTCATAAACCTCCTTTGTTCTTGCGCTTGAAGGGCACAAAGAACCTCTGACAATTTGATTTTCGCCATGTCTTTAGTGTTCTCCAAAGATGCCACCGTTGCTTCAAACTTTTCCGGAATAGAAACCAGAATTTTCTGCACAATCTTAACATCATCAACTTCGGTGCCAAGAATTCTTACCTTGTTGATTATATCGACAAGACGATCGATATAATCTTTCACAGACTCGTTTTCCTTCATTTTCTGTCGTTCGAATTCTCGCAGCAAATTCAGAACCTTCAATCCTCGAATTTTTTCATCCCCTTCGTACTCCTTTTTCAGAAATTCCCACATACCTTTCGCCGATTGAAGCTTCATAATCTTGATCATGATTGAGGGAGAAACTGCAGCAAACATGCACGATTTCGCCTTCGCCTTCCTCATCACTTTCTCTTTGTGATTCTTAAGTTGGTTTGTCGTCGGGTTTACCGGTAATGGAGGAACGTCGTAATCCTCCTCAACAGCTTCCCAAAGATCGGCACCCTCCATAAACGCTTGCATTCTGACGGCCCAAACCTCATAGTTTTCCCCGTCGAAGATCGGGGCAACCATGTTTAAAGCCGAATTCACCGAATTTTCAGATTGATCCATGTTCGATCCACAGATCCCAGAAAGACCTCAAAACGCTCTGATACCACTGTTATCTTCCTTTTAATTCCTCTCAAAGAGTGTTTCTCTCTCTCAATTCACTCTTTCTTTGAATTAAAGGAAGACATAAAAACAAGAACTATTTCTCTGCAAATATCACTTCATTCCATCTCTACACATATGTCCATACACGTATTTATAAAAAACAAAATAAAAAACTGCTAATAGAAGTTACATAAAACCACAAACCACTACTAATAACTATCCTAAAAAACTGAAACATACAAACTGTAAATCAATCCATTTTAGTTTCTTAAACCGGTCCTTGAACCAACATTTTCTGTACCGGACTTGAACCAATAGAACCAACAGGTTCACAGACTGGTAAAAAAGTTTGATACTTTTTACCTGAATGATGCAAACTTACCGTTTTGGATTCTCTCTGTCTTGATGGTGAAAGATTCAAACTTTAATCCAAGACAAAGCTCTTTCTCTATCTATTGGAGTCGTATATTGCAGGAATTCCGATCAGTATCCGTATCAGAGTTCCCGGCATCTCAGGGAAAAAAAAAAGAGTTCCCGGCATCTGGGCCGACATCAAACGAGCTAACTGTTCAGGGAACTAGCTACAGAAAGGGCGAGGCATCCACTTCGGTCCATACCGCCAAGGAACAGAAGAGTTCTGTCTCAACGGGAAGCGGGTTTGAGATCATGGTGAGGATCAAAGAGGCGGAATCCAGAATGTTTCAGAAGAAAGCGGATGAAGCTATGAGAGAAGCCGAGGGGATGATACAAATGAGGAATGGGTTTAGATTGGGATTTAGTTTGGTAAGAAAATGGTAGATACAAGTATTAGTGTTATCTTGAAAGATATTTTGTAAGTATATAACGATAAAATTTAGAATTTGAACATGTAGGAACAAGAATGGTTACATAAAAAAAAACACTTTACAGATAAATAAAATAAAATCCAATGTAGTATACAACGATATAAAAAAAATTACCATATAAAACATCAACCCCATTCAATAAGATAAACAAACACTCTCAATAACTGGCTCACACGACTATAAAATTTTTTAAAAAATAATAATAATGGCAGAAGATCTGATAATGGAGAATCTGGAAAAGAAAGGGAGTCAAGCGTAGCGGGAGAGGGCGACGGAGAAATCGACGAAGATGCCGAAGAGGAGGATGGAGAGGCCGGTGAAGTTGATGAGTCGTGACTCGGACCGAGTGTCGATACCGAGTCCGGTGGATCTCTCCATGAGTCCGGTCAATGCTGCGGCTATTCCCATATAAAGCAGCGCCCTCCCTCCGCTCACGTGCCACGGCATTAGCCCCACTCTCGTCCCCGTCGACGCTTTTGGTGCCAGGTACGTGACCACACCCACCACCCACTGTATATTTGTGTGTGTATATACACACCCACCACGATATAAAAAAGTCCAAATTTTTTTTAGGATTTGTATTAATTCCGATAGATATGAATGAATATAGTTAGACGTTAGTGATATTGAAGAGTGTTGGTATATGGTTATAATAAATATGAAAATTTTTATAAAAAAATGAAAAATTTCCTTCAACGACTATTAGAATTAGAAACTATCAAGATTTGGGAAATAAAATCTAAATAAAGAAAGTATATTTATAATGTATATTCGATAAAATATAAGAGATTTGTATATATCTCTAATAGAAATCTATGAATAGAAACCTATGTGCTTAGGATTATTCTAGATATACAAATGCTATTTCAGTAGCGAAGAGGAGGAATGGGTCGTTAGAAGAAATTCTAAGATACATATGTAAATACTATATATACTATTTATTTACCGAATTTCTTCTATGGGACACTTAACAGAAATTGCTAATTACAAGTTTGAAAAGATGTACAAATATATATTTTTTTGTTGTTTAATGGAAAAGGAAAGATAAAGCATTATCTCGTATTTCTTATCACGGTATCTGATTTCTAAAAAGACATATTTTATATACGAGAGTTTGAATCTAACGGGTCAAAAGATGATTCTTGTCTACCAACCGGGTCACCACATACAAATAAATTTTAAGTATATGGTTTTTGAAACTATATAATATTATTGGAACGATTGGTACGTACCTGGAGACAGAACAAGATGAAAGTGGAGAGACCGATCCACGAGTGGAGAGAGACCATGTCCTGGAGGCGTTGCATGTCGTGGAATCTGAAAACGGCACATATCCCCACAATCCCAAGCACCAATCCCACCATATGCACCATTCCATGCACCACCTTTTGCACGTAGTGTGACCCGTACACCGTCTTGTACGCCATCATCCCTTCCATTTATTTATAAAAAAAATCTATATAAATACCTCAAAATTTTAAAATATATCAAATACATATTTAAACTTTTAATTTGATATAATTAATATTATACATATTAAAATATTTAAAATCGATATTCCAAATGTTAAAATGTTTTAAATCAATATACTTGACTCATAAAATCATATCAATTTCTAATTTTTTTTATAATATATAAAATATTTATACAAAAATATTTTCACAGATGATATAGAATATTTTTTAAATATGAATCATGTTGTCATAATATTCATAATAATTTATTAAAAAAATTTCAATAATTCTTTCGATTTTATGGTTGAAATTGAAAATTGTTATCGATTTTATAAATTATATAATCAATTTAAAACATTGTATACATCAATTAGATAAATTAAAATTAAAAGTCTATGTATTTATTTGATATATTTTGAAAATTGGGATACATATAAACTTTTCCCTTTTTTTATAAATTTACATTTACATTCCATTAACGTGTAGCAAAATTATGCTCTCGTATTAAAAAAAAAAAATGGCCTATCTCTATACATGGATTGGTTACCTTCACCGACGAGGAAGAGGAAACCGCAGAACATGAGAAACGGGTGCACCTATATATCATTCATTTCCAAACCCCAACAAACCAAAATTAGAAAAACAAAATAGTAATTAGACCCATATATAAAATGAAACGATTGAACAACTCCATACACGTTACAAACACATAAATCAATTCTATACTTACGTTGAAAACTCTAGCAGGGTTGTCGGAATCATATTCAATGCCTTCACGGTAATGGAGAAGCCATACCAGCATGAGAATCACGGATAAGATGCCGAAGAAATGGGCCAAGAGAGTGAGACGTGTCGAAGAGCGCTTCAGAGTGGTTCGATCCACTGAATAATCCATCGTCCGTTCTCTCTCTGATTTGACGAAACAGATCGATTCGCAGAACAGAACACAAGAGAACGTGGTGGAAAGAGTCGGGCTTTTGTCTGGTCTTGATGGGATTGATGATATTCTTATAGGCTTATTTATATTTGCAACGACCCTCCAAAAAAAATAAAAAGAATACCTAAAGTTACACGTAAGTTCGTGTTTAGGTCATACAATGTTAATTAAACATGGATTTTTTTTTTTTGGAAAAAAATGGAGAGGGAATTGCTTACATGTTAGGGTTTGGAATATTTAAGGGATGCTTTTGTAAAAGATAAAAAGGAGGGTTCGTTTCAAAACATACGTAGACAAAAGAGCTATGGATTCCTCTCTTGGATATGTTCTTTGTGTTTGTATCTAAATCTCACCTAAATCACTTTGGCCCTACCTTATTCTATTAAAGGCTTTTCTAGAAAACGCGACATTATATGATGTAACAATTTATTCACATATAATATTTATGGAGAGGCCCCAAATTCTTTCCATGTGTAAAGTAAAAAACCACGGATCATAAAATCATCTAAAGTATTCAATTGTTTTTCTCGCCTTATATATAATTAATTTATAAATTATATGTAAATCATATATACTTGGTAAGGATCAAATTCTTTGTTCAATGTTTTGTATCAAGACACGAAAATATATGCAATTATATATGAAATCAATCACACTTTTTTTTTTGTAAAGAAAACCAATCACATTATACCATGCAATACTGTTCGTTGCATTACTTTTAGTAGTACTTCTTGCCACCTTAGAAAGAACATAGACACGTGTACACAGATACGCGTACACACAGACACGTGTACACAAATACAGACACGTCGTACATACATACACATATATATATATAGTTTCGTCGGCTCATGTTACAGAACTATAATTGATATTTTGTGTTCTATTTTAGAGTGGTTATTATCTTTTGTGAATAAGATCACACCCGTATTGCTTCACTTTTTTTTATTGCGCAAGTTTTTGTAAATTTATCTATTAAATTGATTTAAATTTCAATGAATTTACGAATTATAAAAGGCTAAAAATTATAGATTGGTAAGAGGTTAAACTTTATTTTATTTAAAATTTTGTATTTCACTGTTTTATTCTCGCAATTTTCGAGTTTCATTTATTCTTATTTTAAATCATATACTCTTCTTTATTTTTATCGTTATCTGTTTTAATAAATGAAAGATCCTCACGCAGCATTGAAAATGTCAGTGGGCCTATGAGCCTTAATCAGTAAATCTTGTGCAGAATGTTTTCATATTTAGGCCTTTTGAATTTTAAAATGTTACCCCGATAATAGGTTTCGTCGCAATTTGGGCATATTAGCCCACTCAGATCCATTATGACATAAATCGTATATAACATATGGTTTTGTAGGAAACGAATTTAGTCTACCATGTCATTTTGCGATGACCTTAAACGATATTTCCTTTTTTTTGTTAGTCAATAAATAAGACACATGAAGAGTGTTATCTCCATGTGATTCGTACCCCAAAATGTTTTTTTTATCATAATAATTCTATAAGATTACAAATCTAATTAATTAAAATATTTCATTCATAATACACCACACACACACATATATATATATACACTCAAAGTAAGTATATATATATATATATATATATGAGCGTATTGTGTGTGTATATAAAATATAAAAAGGTAGTTAGCAAAAAAAAAAAAAAAGAATTAGACAGTAGGGAATGGAGAAAAAGATGGAGTTGTCATTTGATGCTACACGCTTTCTAAATTTGTGTAGAAATTTTGTCCATTACTCTCCTTCTTTGTTGTATCATCATTACCGTTTAAACAATATGGTTCTTTATTTAAATATGCATAATAAATTTGACTAAGCTATACCAAAATTAGATGGTTAAGACCCATGAAGAATGGTAGGTTATGGAGCCCTCTTTTATTTTTATTTGCTAATCAAATGGCATGGATAATAATAATAATAATTAATAAAAAAAAAACAGGATTGACTGATAATATCCTAGTTTGCAGAAAATCTAGATGGAAATTATATTGTTTGAAAATATATTTCTAAAAAACAATAATTTATAACATTTCTAAAAAAAATAAGAAATTATACTAAATTATAAGGTTTACTTTTCAATTAATATCTAAAGACGGCCTCATCCTCCCACCTGTCTGAAAAAGAAAGCAAAAACCATATTAAAAACGCGTTCCGATTATATTAGCAATCAATATTTTAGTTGCTTAATCCATAGTATAATTACCACTTTACTGTTACAACCATACTAATATATATATATATATAATATATATATATATATTCTTGCACAGACATGCTAATTATGTTTGTTCTACGTTTTTTTTACTACATCGATTTGAACAACTGATGGATTATTTACAGCAAATAATAATAATAACTAATCTAGTAATCTGTCGATGATGCAGCTGTCATAAACCAATAATTAAACTCAATTTAAATTAAGAAAAATTACAAAGGAAAATGAAATTACCAATCTTCTATTTCTTTTTTTCCGGTCCACACTATTATTTAGGTGTCTATGGTTTTGTAAAATAAGAAACAACAAGATTTCTTGTTATATATTTATTTCATTTATTTGTATATTTTACGTCCATTTTCACGGTTACTTCCATACAGTGATGTTGTCATCTGTGAATAGGTCAATATATTTTTTCCAATTTCCAGTTATTTTTTGGTGAAACCAAGGCCAGTAATCATCTGATTTTTTTTTAACACTTAAATTTACATATATGTTAAGAGCAAAATTCCCCTATATATCTCATGTAATAAAAAGTTTTACGTGCAATAAACGTCAAAAAAGGAATTCACATTCACAGTTCATCACAAAAAAAAAAGTACAAAAATTTGCATCATGGAAGAGAAGAGATGCATCTCATTGATACAGTTTCCTGCTTGATCTAAATCGTTACACTGTTATAATATTATATATATATATACATATGTTTGGTTTTGTTAGGCCGATTGGACCCACCATCCTTATGCGTTGCCCTATCAAGGAAGATACTGCAATCTACACTGACTAACATAAAATGAAATCGAGATAAAATGAAAGAAATGATGTGAAATAATCAATTGATTATTACATTTTTCTAATATAAGTTTGAATTTTGAGGATTGATGTTATTTGACACTTAGGACTCATCAATCAATCGAGATTATTAGCTCCCCGCACAACAATGGAATGGACCCATTGGTATGTTTGGTCCACACGATCGAGTTGTGTAAGCATGTCTTTCAAGCTTTAGATAAGACAGAACTGTTAACAGGTTCTCGTAAACACACATCTGCATAGATGGACACGAATCGAATATCCTAAAATTTAGAAATATCTGGCTTAATATTCACGAGTTTTAGAAAAATATGATCTCGTTTTCGTCTATGTGAAATCCGAATAATCAGAGTGAACTCAATTACCCGAAAATATCTAAATCCAAAATAGATGTTTTTTTTATTGATTTTAGGATATTTTGATAATTTTATTTAGAAAAATATAATTGTAAATAAATTAAAATATCAAAAATATAAAAGTCATTTTATTCACACCTAGATATCGGGATAATCTGTTATGGTTAAGAAAAACCGGAACCCGAACCCAAACATGGTCTGAAAACCTCTTTGCATCCATCTTTGGATTCGTTACTTAGAATACCCGTATCTCGATTACCCACGAGATCGAATACCCGAAAAACCGTAGATCTTAAATACCTGCGCCCAAACCTAGAATATATATATATATATATATAATATCCGGCGTATCATTCACTTAGGGGAAAAAATTATATGGTGATGGGGATTGGATAGTACATAATGCTGACATGTCAACTGAAATGAGATTGACGTAGATAAGATCCACGATAACATGAACGGCCAATGTGTGTGGTCCATTTATCATAGCTGTCTATATCTCAACCAACGATTTATTTCATTTACGAAGTTTCTTGCACGTAACCTCCAACCATGGACTAATGGACATTCCTATTCCTATTAGTGACCCCAGTTTTTCTTTTTACAATAATATGAATATGCCCATATATATATATATAACTATATATATATTGTTTCTTGAAATCCGATAACAATTTTGTAACCTAGATTTGACTTGATTAATTTCATTGATATCTATGCATATGCACACATGAATATTGAAATTAAGAACCCTAATGATGAGTTATCGTGGGCTCACCGCACTGTGTGGAACACTTAGTATAATTAATCGCCCACTAACACACATAAAGTAGCAACTGAGAAAACTCCAAAGGAGTCACACCATGATTTGTAATCATGATACTTATCTTCACAAATAAGCAACTGAATAAATCCACCAAGAAAATAAAATAGTATATTGATATATTATATACATAAATTTTAATAGTATATTATATACATATAGCAGTAACGGCTGTGACGGAGGTTAATATACAACGAGAAACGGACCTACACAGAAAGAACCAAAATTCTTCGGAATATTTTAAAAAAATTAAATTTTTGTATGCTCTATATTTGTTACTGAGGAACCCCACCACGCTGCATAAACTTTTGGCCTCATTGCCATTTGGAATTCGGCGGAATCTCATGATTTATAAATCCAGCTAACTCGTACACTATATATAATATATGCACACACAAACACATATACAGTAATATGTAAAACGTTTACCGATACATGTATATACGGATGCATCTAATGATAAATACGGATGCAAAGTTAAAATGTGTTTTTAGAACAGCGGAGTTGATTAATTACATGGGTTTAATACATTCATTGGGCAATGGCATAAACCATAATTTCAAGTGATACGTTGACCCAAGCGACAGATCAGAGCCGTTGGATATAGAGAAATTTAATCGGAGAGAAAATCCCCATGCAGCTATCAACGGCTATGATTCACTCACTGACTTCACAGTCCGTTGGGATCGGATCAATGCAAAACCTCTCGTGAATATCCCCACATCGGGATCTTTTCAACAGATTCCAATGGCCTCCAAAAATGGCGTGCACGTTAGCTGAATACCTTAGTCTATGCTAACGCGCGCCTGATAACCGTGGAGACCTTCCCAATATAAATTCAATTAAATAAAGAAATATGGTTTTACTTTTTTTTTTCGCACCGAACCTAGTAATAATAATTATTACTATCATAATATATTTTATGCGCGTGAATCGTGTGGGCCCAATATGACCCAGCGATTCATCGATTCGACGGGCCGAAACGGGGATTAACGACGTCACAGTTGCCGTTAGTTCTCGGCGAGGATATATCTTAGTGGGCCAATCAAAGGTCCAACGGCTATCCTCGCTGACGTGGCGGGATAGTGTCTGTCCAAGTCAGCTTTTTGCCGGGAAAAAATTTGAGGGGAAACTAACAAACCCATACCCCAAAGATTAGTTTTAAGAAAATGTTATAATGATTTCGACGACCAAAAATATGAATGCCAAGATGAATTCTGGACTGGTTTTGTTGAATAATTATTATACAATCTTTAAATACGCGTACATTTACTACGTACCTATATAAGCTACATTCGATATTTATTTGTTTGATATTTTTTGTTTATTATATACGCATATGATATTAAAAATAATTATGTTGAGTATATAGTGAATTGATATACAAAACATTGCCAGTAATTAGTAGAGAACACAAAACGTTTTTCGAAAGAATAAATAATTTTGTGTTATTTATTGTGTGGATTAGGCGAGTGAATTAGGCCATTTTTTTGTTACATTTCCAGCTGTCAATTACAATTATCTTAAAACCGCTAACACCAATACGACATCGTCTACGTGGAGCGAACGCGAACGTCATTGAGGATCTTACACGTCCTTTGCCACGTGTCAGATAAACGGTGAGGAGCGGGTTTCACACGCGCCGGATCACGCGAGTATCATTTCAAGCGTTTTTACTATTTTTCGTATTCCTCTTATTATCAGTGATTTACGGTTCACCTCTGACAAAGGGTAAAATTGTGGATTAGGCCAACGAAGAGGGGTAGTTTGGAGAATGTGTCATATATGACAAACCTGTAACGGGGACGGCGAGATGGGGCGGCGGCTTGGACCGATCCTTTTCCCCGTTACGTTTTTACAATTAATAGAAATACTTTTTTTTTCTTTGACCCCCAAAAGTCTCGAAAATAAATATTTTTTTAACCCCAAAGGATTCACCTTTTCTTAAAATGCACCCCGTTTGTTCCCGAGAGGCGATTTCTGGTCCACCGCTTTGTATATAAAACAATTAAAATAAATTTTTTTGTGTGAATAAAAACAACTAAAATATTCTTTGCTTTTCAACTAGTATTATGATTTTCGCACTTTATCCCTCCTTTAAGAAAGCTATGAATTTGAATCCATCTCCGACTTATTTTGCATGGAAAATATTACATAATTAAGAAGTCATAATTTTTACTAATAGCGTAAAAAAATTCTCGATTTAATATCATTTTTTTTTACCATTTTCAACACTAGTTCACCCCTACATATATTATAAATATTTCAGAATAAAATTTTAGAGCAATATTTCTTGTTACGAAAACAAACCTTCGTGTGCTAGTGATAAGTATATAATTAGAGATAAAAAAAAGAATAAGTATATAATTTTCATAAAAAAAGAATAAGTATATAATATCGATGCTATACCATACTTGCATTGTGATATAATAATAGTAGTCTTTTTTATTTACATTTTCTTAATTATAGAAATTGCAATTTGATTGAACAAAAAAAAAAGAAATTGCAATTTGTAACCCTCTTTTTTTTTTCTTTTGAATTGCAGTGTTCGTCGAACAGAGCGACACACCACCTGTGACTATTTGTCGGGACACATGTGTAAGAAGCAAAGCCCCCCTCATGCTTTTATTGGTCCCCCTGTTTTTTCGTATCGTTATTTTCGGCCCTTTTTAAAGGCCATTTCTTTGCCAATAAATTTGAATAACTCAATCATAATTTAAAATCTAATTAAGCTGAATCTCTACGGAAATGTAATAATGGGCACTTATTTAGGGTTCATTATGAGCACGAAATTATAATTTGATAAGTAATAGATATTAGATATAACTATGAATGGACACGCACCCACCAACCTACACATAAACACAATTATAGCGATTACAACTCATATACACAATCAAATACGACTTTAAATGCACGAAGTTAAAAAAAATGGTATGGATTTTCAAGATTTAAAGTTGAGTACTTGAGTCTTTTTTTTTTTTGTAAAGCATTTATAAATTAAGGAGAAAATTGCCAAAGCTACGCATTTATTGTAATATCTATCAAAATAGAAATTCTTGAAAAAAAATTAGAAACAAAGATTTCCGGAGCCTTCCATGCAAATACGCTCATCATCAAAGATTTTCTCGACTCGAATTGTCACCGCGTAAAAAAAAGAAAAGAATATGGAAATAAAATAATTTCAAGATTTCCAAATTAAATTTAAAAAAAAAACACTCAAAAATAAAACAACCCAGCAAGACACGTCAGACGAAATCCTCATTCTCTCTCTCTAACCTTTTCGCCTCTCTCTCTCTCTCCACATCCGTAGCTGTATTCCGCAAGCGATTCTTCGTTTCTCTCTGCCCTCTCGTCTTCGTAAAGCTATACAATATATATATACAGTCAGAGAGGCATCTGAGACAGAGCAGTATTAAGAAAAAAAAAGTTTTTTTTCTTAAAAAAATGGATCTTTTAGGTAGTGTGTTGGTTTTTATGGTTCTGTTCGCTGGTTTGGTTTCTGGGTTTGCCCTGGAAACACTTCCTGTTATATCCTTCGAGGAAGGTTACTCGCATCTGTTCGGTGACCAGAACTTGGCTGTCCGTAAAGATGGAAAATCTGTCCGTTTATCGCTCGATGAGAGGACAGGTCTGTTCCTGTTTTGTCTCTCTTTTTTCTGAACAGTTTGTTCATCTCTGTTTTTGCTAAGGTTCCTATGTTCTTTCTGAGTGTTTTTTGGTAGATATTATCCATAGATTTTGTTGTTTTGGCTGAAAATTTGTTTGCAGGGTCTGGGTTTGTGTCAAATGATCTGTACCTTCATGGGTTCTTCAGTGCAAAAATCAAACTTCCTGCGGATTACACTGCTGGAGTTGTCGTTGCCTTCTATGTAAGTGATCACAATGATAACCCTTCTATGATTTTGTTTCAAAAAATGGGTTGCCTGATGTATTTTTTTTTCTTATTGTTTTGATCTTTTATCTTTCTATTCTTTAGATTGAACATGTCAGTGTTTCTACTCTTTTTTTTCTCTGCGTTCAGCCAATTGGCTTTTTGACAATAATACTTCGCGTAACCCTTCACTTTTTTTGCTCAAGTTCATATCTTTTCGTATTGTCCCGTGATTAGAAGAAGCCATTGGGTCCACCGAGGATAAATCAATTAAGAAAATTTCCAACGAATATGATTGGTGTTTTGAATAGTTGCCGAACCCTTTATCTGGGTTGATTGCAAAGTCCTGAAATTTCGTTGATTCGTGCGTGTCAGATGTCAAATGGAGACATGTATGAGAAGAACCACGACGAGATAGATTTCGAGTTCTTGGGAAACATTAGAGGGAAAGAATGGAGGATTCAGACGAACATCTACGGCAACGGAAGCACCCACTTGGGCCGAGAAGAGAGATGCTATCTCTGGTTCGACCCAACTGAGGATTTCCATCAATACAGCATCCTCTGGTCCGATTCCCACATCATGTAAGAAACCCTTTTCTAAATCCACCTTAAATTACACTATATCTGGTTTGATCCAACTGATGGGTGTTTTGGTATCATGATCTGTACCCATTGTTCGAATTATGCTTAAGTATTTTGATTTCGGTATTCTCGGAGGCACTTGACTCTTGTTGTGTTTGTGACTCAGCTTTCAGGTGACGTTGTCGTTTTGATTCGATAATGTCTCTATTTAAGGAAAACCTGTGGGGTTTCTGTGGGGATCGTTTGGTTTTATTGAATGCTTTTGGTGTGAGGTTTCAGAGATTCTTCTTAGTTTCATTTGTTCCGTTTATTTAATTTCTTCTTCTGGAAACCTCTTGTGATTGTTTTGGACAACATTTACTTTGGTTGTTTTCCCGTTTCCTGGTTCCTCTTGTTTTTGTCACAAAACCACCTTTTTTTTTCTTTCCTCTGTCCCCAAAAATGGTTGCTGATTCGTTTTTTTTCACGAACAGAGCATGCGGTTTCAGACAAATTCAAATCTTTTTTAGTGAAATAATCTATACCCCAATACATTAAAAACTGAAACTTTTCCCAAATTGTACCGTTTTTTCAGTTGATTAACCTCTGAAAACCGATCAAGATTGAGAATTTATTGTGAAATAATCTGAATTCTTTGTTTTTTTTTTCTGCAGATTTTACATAGACAACGTTCCAATCAGGGAGGTGAAGAGGACCGCGTCCATGGGCGGTGACTTCCCGTCTAAGCCGATGTCGCTCTACTCCACGATATGGGACGGCTCGAAATGGGCCACCAATGGTGGCAAGTACGGCGTAAATTACAAATATGCCCCTTTTGTCGCCCGGTTTTCCGACTTCGTTCTCCACGGCTGCGCCGTCGATCCCATCGAGCAGTTGCCCAAATGCGACTTTTCCGGCGAAGAACTCCGGCGAGCTGCGGAGCTAACGTCTTCTCAGAGGATCACGATGGAGGATTTCCGTAGGAAACACATGACGTATTCTTACTGCTACGACCAGACAAGGTACAAGGTTGTCCTGCCGGAGTGTGTTCTAAATCCTGCTGAGGCTAAGCGGCTTAGGGTTTACGATCCGGTCACTTTTGGCGGGATTCCTCACCGTCACGGTAAGAACCGCCGCCGCCGGAGACGAGCCGTCGTGGGGTCGGAGGCAATGTAATACGGTGGGTGAATGAGAGAGGGGGTCTCTATAATAAGTCCATATTTACATGATTTGGTCCATATATATATATATATATCTGTATTCCTGATTTTCAGTTTAGAGGGTCATTTTGATTTCATCTTGTATAGGAAACTCGAAAAAAAAGGAAAAAAAATATTATTTCATTAAGAGATTTGGTATTTTTGTTTTGTTTTCATAAAAAAATAATTTATGGGATGGTTCACGAGGAGAGTGGGTGGCTGTGATTCGTTCTGTGAATTGTGTTTTTTCGTATAGAAACTCTTAAAAAGATTCTTGGATTATTTCTATGGTTTTTTTTCCCAATTCGATTCGATTCATTATTGTATCTCTTGGTACTTTTTTTTGTTTGTTCGTGGGTCCAATAAATATTCTCGAGTCGATTGTCTATATTGTGTGACCATGTTCATGCACATGCACACAATATAAAACATATCTATCTACCATTGGAAATCTTTTTTTTTTTTTTCTAACAAGATGTTTAAATTATAATGATGTGAACATATTATCTTTACTTGTGAAATAAAACATCTATAGATATGTTTACAATATTTGTCTATGTATTGACAAGTGGTGTTACCTATGGCAGCTTCTTTTGTGGAGATTGGTGACATGAGGTTATATATCTATTAGCCTCATGTCAAATGGGGCATGTGCCCCCACCCCTTTCAACATAGGTCCACCTTTGATTATGATTCAAGTCATGATTACAATTAGATAAACTAAGATCTTGTTAGATGGTAATATTTGTGTAAAACAAATCTATGCCATAACTACATTGAGATAAACTAAGATATGGTAATATATATATATATATATGTAAAATAAATCTACCATATTTTATTTGGACAACGTCCTTATGATCGATGAACTAATGCAAAAAATTTAAATTTTTGGGCACTACTCCAACCATCAATAAGATCTCGATACGTGGTATCACAATATTACATGGATCTGTTTAACTGAATTGGATATTATTGATAATGATGTATATGAATTTGATTCTTTGAGAATACACAAACGATTAGTGGATGGTAAAGAAGGGATTAGAGCCATAGTGTCATGATCAACTTTTTTTTATACGTGTCTTAATTCATTTCCTAATGGGTGGGACCAAAACTTGTTGGTGTTAGCATTAAGTATAACATAAATATTCATGTAATGAATTACAGAACTCTCTCTTTTCTCTACAATTCGTAGACACGCATTAATTTGTACATATACGTGCATGCATACGTATATACATACGAGTGAAATCCGTATATTTATATATATGTACAAATACGTCCAAGTCCTCAACAATAGGGACCATGGATGTGGTACAAATATTATAAAAAAGAGATAAGAGTTTGGACCAAATTGTTCTGCTCTCTTTTGGTTTAGACGTCAATGTTGAGACAACCATTTTCCAACTGTACTACTGTAGGTTTTTAGAACCCTCTGGATGCTTCCAAAGGTTCGTCATGCAACTTGTTCTTATCCGAATTCATCCTCCATTTTTTAAAATAAAAGAATAAATAAATAATTGATTTTCTCTTTTGGATTTTGTGGTGTCTGATAAAACAGGAATAAAATTGGAAAGTGTTTATGGACCACCACAGGGATCTCTTCACGTCAACATCTCGTCTATGTATGCTTTCGAAATTTGATCAAAGTACGTTTATCGTTAATTACATTATCGCCTATCTTCTTCTTCTTCTTCTTCTTCTTCTCTTGTAACAATTTGGGTTGATTATAACATTTTTCGTAATTAATGAAATTTGAAACCTAGCACCCATTGATGCGACTCATGATCTTGACTCATATCTATAAATGACAAGAGATGGTGATGATGATGATGATGATTATAATAATAATAATTATTATTATTATTTATCTATAAATTTAGGCCCATGCGAATTACAAATCATTAAAAAACAAATAGGCCCATATACTTGGACTAGGCTTTTTACAGAGGTATAAATCTGTATTCTTCACATGTTGGAACCTTTGGTAGAATTTTAGGTCAGGGTAGTCATTGTTGCCAATATTTTGCCCTAAAATATCAAAGTACAAATAAATGGAACCAAGAAAATCCAAGAATAGAGAACCGAAGTGGTCTTTCACAAGTTTGTAGGTTTGCTTGGGCTTTTTGTACATACATATATATGCTCATAGCTGAATCTAGAAAAATTTATCAATGGAGCAACATAAAAACTATAAGAAGATATTGTCATTAATAATAGAACATGAATATGTACGTATATAAAATCAACGATTAAGAAATGAATAATCAATATTTTAGACAACACCAAAGTATAAAATTAAGGATGCGATTTAAGAATAATATCACGGAAGATATTGTTTCATATCCTTCTATTATGCCCCGCAACATAAGGCTCGTGAGCGAGTAAAATCTTGACTCGAAGAAGATCGAAGCGTGCGACAGAAGAGGTTTGATGAGTGCTTCTGCAAATTGATCTTGAGATGTCACATGATCCACCCGAAGGCAACCATCTTACACCAACACTTAGGGTTGACGTCGAGAAACGAACGTCGTCAAAAAAGAGAAAAAAAGTAGCACGTTGGTTATAGTTGATGGTGATGAACACCGTTGTCGGAAAAAAAAAGACTACGAAAAAAAGAGAAGAAAAAGAATGTAAGACGATACTCAAAGTGATAATACTATTGGATTTAGTATATCATCGTCATCTTCATTGTCATTTTTGGATTCAACCAATATTGTTGATAAGAAGAAAAAATTTAGAACAAAAATTGAACTCTGATACCGTAATAGAAAAATGTTTTTCTATTATTGATTAATGCAAGATACACATTAATATATATAGAAAAATATAATATAATATTCTATGTATAATATCTAGACTAAATCATAATCATATTAATAAGTATATTTTCCTATAAAAACTATTATAATTTAAAAGATAAATTTAAATTTTGTATGTTGTCATTTCACAATTTTTGTTGAAAACTTATCAAATTTATAATGAAATTAAGTTTTTTTTAATAAAATGAATGGGGTTTATTACATAGATCTGCCTATATATATATATATATATATATATATTCCTAGAAACGAATGAAGATTTGATATAAGGTTGTAAAAGCAGAATTCGTGCCTAAACATAAAATGGAAAATCTGGTTATGATGAACTTGTAAATTGTTTTGAAGGATTTTGCAAAATCATATATACATACGAAATTTTATTTATCATATTATTATTATTATTATTATTATTATTTTGGATATGCCATTTGTCAAGGGCCAATATGTTTTGGGAATGTAATGTATGGTGGACGGGTATTTTCCAATTTCCACGTGTTGCCTGGAATGGAATGGCAGAACTGTAAATACCGGAGTAAGGGAAAGGCAAAATGGTCTAAAAGGGTCCACGTGTAAGTCTAACGTGGTTCCGCCGAGGCCCATGGGTCCAAAATTACGGAGCGATGGTATTCCCTAATCATCTCTTTATTATATTTAAAGTTTTCAAGAAGAAACTTAAATATTTTTGTCAGGTAAAACGATCAACGGATGTTTAATGGTTACGCAAATGAATCGAAATAAGCAGTGGTTTGGATTTGTAACAAAATTCTAAGTAATCTTTATTGGTATTTCTATTTTATGGCTCCCAACAAATAATCGTAGGTTAACTTAAATCAACGGGTTAACGCGTCGTTGAAGCACGTGACTTTAGTTAAAGAAAAAACATGATCCAACGATGTTAATGTTTTTTTTTTCTTTCAATGGATTGAAATTGAATTGAACAATATATATAATCGTTTGTTTCGATTTCTGTTTAATTATTTATATAACTAAACGATCTATTTAAAAAAATTGAGAAAAAAAACAAGGAGAAAAATGTGGGAGTTAAAAGGGTTAAAGATGCAGAGAAATTGAGCTCTAATGTCATATAAGCCACCCTTTTAGACCCTTGAATGCATGCGTCCTAATTAAGCCAAATCTCTCTTCCCCTTCACACCTCTCTCTCTCTATCTCTCTCTCTCTCCACGGATCTCTTCCTCAAAACCCTAGATCTCCCTCTCTCTCTCTCTCTCTCTCTCTCTCTGCCTTGTTTAGAAGTTTCCCTCACTTTGCACATAACACGAACTAGATTACTCTTCTTCCAGGGGGTGCGCATTTGCCAGATCTGTGGGGTAACACTCTCGTTTGCCTCAAAAACCCTAATATTTCTGGCGATTGTTGTTTCACGCGTACTGGGTTAGCTCATCATTCCGAAATTCACCTGCTCCTTTCTGGGTTCTGTCTTAATTGTGTAGAATTTTAGCTAAATTCGAGGATTTTAATGTTCTGGTCAAGGATGTTTAGTGATCTTGTTGGGTTCTAGCTGACCCTTACGAAATTTAGCTTTGGTTTCTGCAGATCTGCTTGAATTTGATCGTCGGAAGCTATGAATGGTGTTTGGTAGCCAAAAAAAAAACTTTTGACTCTGTGATATCACGAATGGCAATGCCGCCGGGAAGTGTGATTCCGTCGGATAAAATGCAGTTTCCGGCCGCCTCAGCTCCCCCCGCCGGGCATTGGATCCCTGACGAACGTGATGGGTTTATCTCGTGGTTGCGGTCGGAATTTGCCGCGGCCAATGCCATCATCGACTCGCTCTGTCAGCATCTCCGCGCCATTGGGGATCCTGGCGAGTATGATGCTGTGATCTCTGCTATTCATCAGAGGCGGTTCAACTGGACGCCTGTTCTTCATATGCAGCAGTATTTCCCAGTGGCTGATGTGGTTTACACGCTGCAGCAGATAGCTTGGAAGCGGGAGGCGCAGGC